GCTAGCCTGAAATTGAACTGCTGGTTTTGTCTGGTCAGAGGAGAACTGGCCCCCCGACTGAGCTTGGTTTCTCCCAAGGTTTTTTCTCCATTCTGTCACCGATGGAGTTTTGGTTCCTTGCCGCTGTCGCCTCTGGCTTGCTTAGTTGGGGACACTTCATTTCCAGCGATATTGTTGACTTGATTGCAAGTGATTGCAAAGATACTATTTAAACTGAACTTAGCTGGATGATGACATCACTGAATTCAATGATGAAATGCCTTTTTGCATTATTGACACACTATTGTCCTATTTAATGCTGTACAGTTGCTTTGACACAATCTGTATTGTTAAAAGCGCTAAATAAATAAAGGTGACTTGACTTGACTTGAAACTAAGGTCTGACTCCAGAACCACACCAAGATTCCTGACTTGACTTTTACTTGTTTGACCCCTAGAGTCAAGGTATGCATTCACCTTGAGAACTTCATCTTCATTCCCAAACACAATTGCTTCAGTATTCTCTGAAGAAAGTTTTGGCCCATCCAACTGTTGATTTCATCAATGCATTGATGCTTAGACAATGCTTAGAGTTATGGTCTCCTATACTCACATAACCTCTCCCTTCTATGACCTGAACCATTTGAGGACCATCCCAGAAAGCCCGACCCAGTTTTCCAGTCTCTCTAGAAATATGTTTTGATCGACAGTGTCAAACATAGCACTGAGATCAAGTAGTACCATCACTGATTTTGCCAGAATCTGTATTTAATCGAGTATAATTTATCTTTATGAGCACTGTCTCTGTGCTGTGATGCGGTCGGAAACCAGATTGAAACTTGTCTAAACAAGCAAAAACACTTAAAGAGACAGAACTTCACTGTCTGACGTCACATTGGCTGATGAGAATATGGTCATGTGTTGAATGTTGTGAACCTCAGTGGTTGAAAGTGCTTCTTTGGGCAGCAGTGAATCCATCAGTGAATCGACTCTCGTATCGGTTCATGAGTCCTGTGACGTCATTGTGTGTGTTGATGTTAAATGATGGAGAATCTCCACCATCAGTTCTCATGGATGAGCATCAAAACACAGAAAAACACTTTCAGTTCAAACTCTAGACATGTTTCGGTGATTTGCATTGTGTTGAATAAATGGAAATGTTTCATATCTGTGTTTCTTCTGTTTTTAGTGCTGATGTCCTTCATCGACGCTGGACTCACTCAAGGTACTGTGCAGTATTGCATTACAATTGATTTATTAAACAATTATGAATCCTGTTGTAGTAGTTTATTTGTCTACATGGATCACACCAGGGGCCTGTACCATGATGGTAGTTTAACAAACTCAGAGTTACAGGATTAGTTTAGAGTTGACAAACCCAAACCACTCCAATCCGGCTTTTTTGGTACCATGATGCTGATCATAAACTTTGTTTGTCAACTCTTTGATCCTGAGTTTGTGGAGCGTGTGCACATGATGGTGAACAGCCAATCACAGAGCAAGTGTGATTCACTTCTCGCGAGATCCAAAACTCATTTGCTAAAGGTTAAGAGATTGAAGAATATGAGGAATTTAAACACATTTACACTGAAGAAAGTACTTGTCCATGAAAGAGGACAAATAACAGAAGTGATCTTGCTCTATTAGTGCAGTCACAAGTGAAACTTGTGAATATAGTTGATAATATATAGTGATAGAGACTCAAACATGTAAGGTCACATGTAGACATTTTTAAAGTGTTATCAATTGATTCTACAGCTTATTTATTTTACTTATGATCTGTATATATTAATATTAATTTAAATTAAATGCTTTATATTTATTGTTGAACTAAAATTGTTTGTGCGTAATGGATTAATACTAATATAAATCACATAATAATTATATAAATCATATAAAATATTTCTAAGTGATTATCATTTAAGACAATTTTGTTGTTAATTTTTATTTTTTAATTTTTTTTACTTACTTTCAGTTTGTCAAATAAAGTAACTAAATCAGCCATAAATCAGAAAACAAATACAAAGAAATTAAGTGGCAGCACTAAAAAACATTCACAATGTGGAACTCTGGCATTCGTGGTTCATGAAGACACACATGTGTATAATGACAACATGAATTAAATGTGTAAACAACTGACAAAAGAATTCTTCTCTGTTACATAATTTGTCTAAATATTGTAACATAATTGCAAAATTCGTACTTTAGTACACAAAGATTCTTTTTTTATTATTGTTATAATAATAATTTTATAAAGTCTCAACATGAACGAGTGAGTGATCATTACAGCCATCTAGTGGCTGTGGTAAAAATTTCATGTTATTTTTATTTTATGGCAGCAATCTACCACTAAACCCAGGTTTAATTAATTAATTAAACCTAAATGCCAAAAAAAAAAAAAAAAA